CCTTTACACACCTGTCTCAGGTACACACACCTGTCACGGTTTACAGTGACTCAGGAGGACTGAACAATTACCTAGCCCTGGTCTCCTTGTGGGGATTGCTACATGCACAAAATCAGTCACTAGAAAAAAACACACAAGAAAGCTGTCAGAGACCTTGACATCAATCCAAATCATGTCGCTCATATGACACCCCAGTCACTGTCACAGAGACAGCAGCTCTCCTGAGATGTGGCCTCTTAAGAGGTCAGAGGTCACCTAGCCCAGCAGAGAAACGACGCAGGAAAGGAGACAGGATCTGAAAACTCTGGGGTTGATGGGATAGGTATTGAACCACACGGGAGCATGAGGGTATAAAGAGAACTACAGGTGACAGCATTGCTTCAATATTGCTTAACCTGCCTACCTTTCTGTCTGTCAAATGTGCTTTAAATTCATTTCTAAATTACTTTAGAAATACCCTCACTGCCGACTTGATCAACCTGTAAACACTAAGTCAGGAGAGAACTGGCACAGATCCACACAGATACACTCCCAGCTCACTCACTGCCTGTCAAGTCACAAGGTTATATACAACCTTGTGTGTATATAAGGAAGAACAGCTCTGTTCACATGAAGACCACCTGATGCTGGATGCTGGGAAGGGGAACAGCTGAGCTCAGACCTTTCTGGCCATCCATGCTAAGTATGAGCCAGCCCTCCGGGGGAAGGAGATACTCCCAGACATCCTGGAGTCCCGAAAGGCGCTGCTCTGCCAAAGCAGACTGGTGAAGAAGGGCTTCAAGCGGAATGACCTGCTGCTGCTTTCTTCTTCATCATCACCTTCTTCAGCGTGGGGAGAGCTCGAGCTCATCAGCACGGGGCTGCTGTCAGCCAGTCCAGAGGGTGCAGACTTCCTCCCTTTCCTTGAGCAGGTGTCCCGTTTCCTTCTGTGGTAATGGGACTGGTCCTTGGATCCTCTGGCTACAAGCAGCTTTTCTGGCAGGGAAGACGCCTCAGACGTTGCTCACAAGTGTGAGATGTCGAAGAGCCTTGGCCTCATCTGTCTGCTGCCTGTTCTTGCTTCATCGACGTTGGCTGTGGTTGGGCTTGACTGGAGGAACTTCCTTCTGTGCGGATGGAACATGCTGGACAGAAAGCCATGCGCTTGTGATCAATGTGTTCACTTTTGACAAACCAGTCCCGGTGTAAAATCCAGGTGCCAGACATTGGTGATATTTGTTTTGGGATCTTCCCAGTGGTGAGGACACGCCTCTTCTGTTCTCACTTGGGCTTTTCCCATAATGCATTATTAAAAACACCCCTTTTGTAATGCCACCTTCCGCTGGCATTTCCAGCCCCTCCCTCACCAACAGCCCCACTCCAGAGACTCGAATCTTTCCCAGCTCTGGCACTGAAGTCTCTCTGTAGGAGACGCTTGTCCTCCGTTGGGGTTCCACCAGGAAGTTGGCCGAGGTTGACAGCGAACACTTCCCAGCTTCATGGTCTGAATCAGGTGTAGTGGCAGGCGTGTGGGTTCCCTGCATATCTGAAAGGAAGAGTCTGGAAGCTCTGCAAGATTCCCAGATTCCGGCAGGGAACTTGGGAGTGGGAAGTTCTTCTCGAGGGCAGATCCACCTCCAGAAATCTGACATTCCTCCTGGTAACTCTTTCGGGAGAAAGCCTGTCCTGCTCCATGCTCCTTGTGTTGCACAGGACAGTAACGTTGGCGCTCCTGACCCCGTCTGCACAGCCTGGGAGGGTCCTGATGTTCCCCACTCTTTCATGATTTGCGGCTCACATGACGTTAATCCAGCCAGACACTGCGGCCAGGTGGGTGAGGCAGATGAAGGAGAGGTGAGCAGGACCCTAGCAGTCGTACTCTGGACCTCAGTGTAATGTCTGATCTGCTGAACAGGTACACCAGCAGGGACACACACACTGCACACTGCACACTGTCCACTGACATGCCCACACAAGCTGCTTTAATAAAAGAAAATCTCTTACTTACCATCATCATATTCTAAACCTGTTTAAGAATGGAGAAAGAATACATTTAAACAGAGAGGTTTGCAGAAAAGGCCAAACAATAGCACTGTAATACTATTGTACATAACATCAGAAAAGTCTGCGCCTGAGATCAGTGCCCCCTGTACCCCCTCCCGAAATGCCACCCCTGGACTCGGCGCTCATGTGACACCCCCAGCTCTGCACATGCTCAGAGCAGGCCGGCCCGGGAGGAGGGGCACATGTAAAGAGACCATAACAACCTGAAGTGCAACCCCCCTGTACAGACCTGCAGCAGGTGAGTAAGGGGAAACACTGAGTGAGACACTGAGTGGGATTTAGCTGGGACACTGCAGTGCAATACGCCTGCTGCTGCCAACAGTTCTATGGAATCTTGAATGTCCCCTGGAGGACTCCTGTCCCAGCCCTGCTGGCTGAGCTGCTGCTACAGGGTTACACAGAGCACTTTAAGAGTAAAGAAGAGCATTGCTTACCCATGTGTCTGTAATCAAAACCGAGACCTGGAGGAGAGGGAAAGTGGGCAGGGTGTTGAGTGCCGCTTGGCCAGGGACCTGTGCCATCAGCTCAGTCCCTTACCGAGAGGGTGGCTGTGCTGCTGCACTGAGTTTTTTCGAAAGCAGGGTGACTCTGAGCGTGATGGCAGACCCCCCTGATCGTAAGGGTTCCCAGCGCGCAGGGGCACCTGCAGCACCTCGGCCAATATTAACGGAGGTGAAGACTCTGACTGTTGGTTCACACTCCTCAGTGAACCAGACCCCCACCAACCCACAGCCCTCTACCCCTCAATGGCACCTAAGCCAGCTGACACACACAGCACCCCAAAATATCAAGCATACGGGTGGGTGAAGGCACCCAAAACTCCATGGCCTTGTGCTCGTACCCCTGCTCCCCCCTGGGGAGACCAGCTTACAGGGAACGTCCCAAGGGAAGGCACTACAGGTTAAACTGAAAACCACCGAAGCCTAGAATTATAACCCAGAAGTGGGCCGCTGACAATTCTTTAACACTGAAGCAGAGCCGCAGGCTGGGTGTCCCGGCCCCTGTGAGGGTGGTTTCACACTCTGCCAGATAGGAGGTTTCCAGAGGTGCTTTTGTTCTGGGCATCGCCAGGACCGGCCAGGGGCACACAATGTCTGTCGCCCTCCAGACCTCCTGTTCCTGCACTGTACTCCACTGGTCTCCTCTGGAGTGTGCGGCTGATGAAGGCGCAGAGGCACCAGAGGCCAGGAGGGGAGATGGACTTACTGGTGTCAGCAGAGAGACCTATTCTTTCGGAGCCTGTCAGTGAGAAAAGGAGATTACTTCTGCAGCTGTGTGGTGTGCTCTGTGTCACACAGGAGCAGAACAGACTCCTGGAGAGACTTGTAACAGTGGAGTCAAAGAAACATGCATCACAGATTGACCTTGTGACCTGGTCAGGACTCTAATGGGTGAACCCTGGACATCTTTGAAAAGGCTCATGAACCATGAAGCATGAAAAACTATGACCCAGTTTTTCCATCTCAAACACAGACAGGACAGGAGGCAGAGTGGCAGTACATCTCAGCAGATAAAACAATATCTTTACAATGTTCTGCACATGAGGGTCAAATGCCAGTCCAGGATCAAATATCACCCCCAGATAACTCATGTTGGCCTGAAAACAGTCAGTTTTCTCGGTTTTAGGTTCAGTGTGGCCATGGATCTGAGTGCCGTCCACACAGAATTGAGCACACATATGGTGAAAACATATAATCCCCAGATAATAGAGTGCCCAGTACTGAGCCCTGTGGAACACCAGACATAACCAACCCAACTCAGAACTAATCCACCAGGAGAAATTAACAGTGGGGTCAAGAAAGTGGATCACAGAAGAGACAAAGAGAGACACCTACCTCCTCGAAACCTGAACCCTGTTGGTGAGAAAAGGGGATTACTTCTGTGTGCAGCTGTGTTGTGTTGTGTGCTCTGTCTCACACAGGAGCAGAACAGACTCCTGGAGAGATTCTTAAGAGTCAAAGAAATGTGCATCACCAAAATGTTGGGGAGATACAAAGACCTATTTGTACAATTCTGGCCCCTGACGGTGAGAAAAGACAATAACTTCTCTGTGCAGCAGTGCTCTGTGTCCTCCGCTGTGGGCTCTGTGGTGTACTGAGGGGATCGTGTACTGGGTTTGTACTACAGTCGCCCCCTTGATAGCTCTCCAGGGGGCGCTGCCAGCTCTTTGTAAGGAAGAAGTGAGGACTCGTGTTTATACAGCAATGCCCATGTGGAGCCCAGCTCCCACACTGCAGGAGGGCTGCGTCTCCCAGACCAGTTGTACACCAACCCTCCTCTGGGCTTGTTTTACTGAAGAGAGGAGCTGAAGACACACAGGGGCAGGTTCTTGACTGTGGAGAAAATGTATCAGGTAAGGAGGGAAAATAGACTTACCAGGCCGAGAGATGGATTTTGAAGGGGATCCTGTAGATTAGAGAAGGTGGTTAAAGCCAAAAGAGTTGTCTGTGCAGCTCTTTTGTGTGCTCTGTGTCCTCCTCTGAGTCATTGCAGCCCAGAGCAAGTGAGTGCACTGGGGTCTGATCAGTGTGTGCACCACATTTGTACTCACCCCCTTGATATGATACTAAGACAAATATAATCAACTTCATTTCGCAGTTTAAAAAGCAATCATCACAAAGTTCTTTTGACACAGACAAAAAGCTTATAGCACAAGCTACTATGCAGAGCCTTGAACACAAGCAGCTTTTTAAAATCATGTTGACTTCTGCTGGGAAGCCAGTGGGGGGACTCCAGGACAGGAGTGATGTGATGACTTGACCTTGTGACCTGGTCAGGACTCTAGTGGGTGAACCCTGGACATCTCTGAAAAGGCTCATGAACCATGAAGCATGAAAAACCCATGAACCAGTTTTTCCATCTCAAACACAGACAGGACAGGAGGCAGAGTGGCAGTACTTCTCAGCAGATAAAACAATATCTTTACGATGTTCTGCACATGAGGGTCAAATGCCAGTTCAGGATCAAATATCACCTCCAGATTACTCATGTTGGCCTGAAAACAGTCAGTACCGTCATCCAACAACAGCCATGGGATCTTACCATCAGTTATGTCAAACTAATAGCATAACCCTCAGTCTTTACACAATTAAATGCAAACTATTTGAAATTCAGGAAAAAAGTGCAGACAGAGAGTACTGAAAGAGCTATCTCGGTTTTAGGTTCAGTGTGGCCATGGATCTGAGTGCCGTCCACACAGAACTGGGCACACATATGGTGAAAACATATAATCCCCAGATAAAAGAGTGCCCCGTACTGAGCCCTGTGGAACATCAGACATAACCAACCCAACTCAGAACTAATCCACCAGGAGAAATTAACAGTGGAGTCAAAGAAAAGTGAATCACAGAAATATACATACGTTGTTTAGTGCGGTCAACTGTCGTCCTACCTGTTGGTGAGAAAAGGGGATTACTTCTCTGTGTAGCTGTGTTGTGTTGTGTGCTCTGTGTCACACAGGAGAAGAACAGACTGCTGGAGAGATTTTTAAGCGGAGTCAAAGAAAAGTGTATCACCGAAATGTTGGGGAGATACACATACCTTTTTGTACAATTTTGGCCCCTGACGGTGAGAAAAGACAATAACTTCTCTGTGCAGCAGTGCTCTGTGTCCTCCGCTGTGGGCTCTGTGGTGTACTGAGGGGATCGGTGTACTGGGTTTGTATTACAGTCGCCCCCTTGATAGCTCTCCAGGGGGCGCTGCCAGCTCTTTGTAAGGAAGAAGTGAGGACTCGTGTTTATACAGCAATGCCCGTGTGGAGCCCAGCTTCCACACTGCAGGAGGGCTGTGTCTCCCAGACCAGTTTATCTGAACTCCATTCGTTCAAAAGCACTGGCGGAGCCTGACAGCGTGAGGGGAGTTCTGGTAGGCTTGATCTTCCAGCCAGAAGAGTTAACGCCAAGCACTAGAATATTAAGGACACTCTCCCTTTATATTCGTCAACTCATCCCATGAATTGGTCTGAACTAGTGGCTTGAGGTCTATAGTTGGATTGTTGCTTTGTCCTGCTGTCACACACACCATGTGCATCATGGTGGGACCAGAGCTTTCCAAATGAAGTCATGGAAGTTGAAAACGATTGGATACAGAGACACGTTCCAATGGTAGGAGATACTATATTAAAGCTTACCTGAGAGAAGCGTAATAATAAGGTATGTGATAATAACTGTTATCTCTCAGAACGTACTAACAGTCTTATACTCACCAGCTGGGGCTGCATGACAAATCATCAGATCAATCAAAGTCACTGACAGTCCCAGACCGTAAATGAATCAGTACATTTCAAAATAAACAGCTCATTAACAAACATCCTTATACTCACTAGGTTGATCTGCATCCAGGAGCAGAAGAACAAGAAAATCATTGTCAGTCCCAGATTTTAGATGAATCAGTACATTTCAAAATAAATATCTCTATTCATTGTAGGTTTCATTTCACACCTCTCTTCACCTGTCCTGACTGGCCTCTCTGTCTGTCCCCTGCTCCCGCCCCCTGCTCCTCCTCTCTCCAGCTCTTGTTCTCTCACTACATCACCTCTGCTGACTGCCCTGTCTTTCTCACACCCGAAGAAGGCTCCATGGCCGAGACGCTGTGTTTTCTTTCTTCTCTTCTCAGCATGGAATAAACCTATTACTTGTTCCATTTCAAAATAGACAGCTTATTAACAAACATCCTCATACTCACCAAAGCCTGCATGATAATCCAGGAGGAGAAGAACAAGAAAATCATTGTCAGTCCCAGATTTTAAATAAATCAGTACATTTCAAAATAGAGATAGCTTATTAACA